ACCCCCCTGGGTGGGATGGCACCTCGCTGCCCCTTGGGGACCCCCTGGGTGGGACAGGCCCTCCCTGCCCTTTGGGGACGCCCTGGGGTGGGACCCGTGCCCCCTGGGTACCCCCCTGGGTGGGATGGCACCTCGCTGCCCCTTGGGGACCCCCTGGGTGGGACAGGCCCTCCCTGCCCTTTGGGGACGCCCTGGGGTGGGACCCGTGCCCCCTGGGTACCCCTCAGAGTGGGTTGGGACCTCTCTGTCCCCTGGGGACCCCCTGGGTGGGAATTCCCTGCCCCCTGTGGACCCTCTGGTATGGGATGGCACCTCTGTGCCCCCTGGGCACCTCCTGGGTGGGGTGGAACCTCCGTGCCCCCTGGATGCCCCCCTGGGTGGGATGGAACCTCCCTGTCCCTTGGGGACCCCCAGCTGTGACCTCCCTGTCCCCTGTGGACCCCTGGGTATGGGATGGGACTTCCCTTTCCCCTGGCTACCCCCAGGGCTGAGATGGGACCTCTGTACCGCCTGGGCACCCCCCTGGGTGTGATGGCACCTCTGTGCCCCCTGTGGACCCTCCGGGTGGGGTGGGACCTTCCTGTCCCCTGGGTACCTCCCGGGTGGGGTGGAACCTCCGTGCCCCCTGTGGAACCCCCTCTGATGCCCTCTGTGTGTGGGGGGGGTCATGCCCAGGCCAACTCGGCGCGGGCACAGGAGGACCTGGAGGCCGAGTTCCAGTCTCTGTACTCGCTGCTGGACGAGCTCAAGGAGGACATGGTGATGAAGATCAAGCAGGAGCGCGCCAGCCGCACCTACGAGCTGCAGGTGGGCACTGTGCCCCCCGTGCCCCCCCTGTGGGCACCCTCACCCACCTCCCACCCATTCCCTGTTCCCTGTTCCCTGCCCATTCCCAGGCCCAGCTCGCCGCGTGTTCCAAGGCCCTGGAGAGCTCGGAGGAGCTGCTGGAGGCGGCCAACCAGGCCCTGGGCGCTGCCAACCACCACGACTTCTCCCAGGTGGGGGGCCCTGCCCGGCTGCCCCCGGCGCTGGGCGGGGTCCTGACACCCCCCCACCCTGTGCTGGCTGGTTGATGCCCCCCCTGGGATGGGCACCCCCCTTTCTGTCTGTGCCGGGCTGGCTGTGGGGCTGGGGGGGAGCACGAGGAGCATGGGGGACCCCAAAGGGGCGCCCTGGCAGGGACACGGGGGGCACTGGGATGTGTGCCGGGGGGGTGCTGTGCCAGGGGGGCACCGGGGGGGTGCAGGGATGCTGTGCTGAGGGATGCTGGGATACTGGGCCATGGGATGCAGGAATGCTGGGCCATGGGGTTCCACCATGGGATACGGGGATGCTGTGCCATGGGGTTCCACTGTGGGATACAGGGATGTAGGGTTGCTGTGCTATGGGATACAGGGATGCCATGGGATATAGGGGTGCTGTGGGATACAGGGGTGCTGTGGGATACTGTGGGATGCTGTGCCATGGGATGCAGGGACGCCTTGGGATAATGTGGGATGCTCTGGGATGCTGTGGGATGCTGTGGGATGCTGTGCCATGGGCTACAGGGATGCTGTGGGATGCAGGGACTCTCTGGGATGCTGTGGGATGCTATGGGATGCTATGGGATATAGGGATGCTGTGGGATGCTGTGGGATGCTGTGGGATGCTATGGGATACAGGGATGCTGTGGGATGCTGTGGGATGCAGGGACATGCTGTGGGATGCTCTGGGATGCTGTGGGATGCAGGGACATGCTGTGGGATGCTCTGGGATGCAGGGACATGCTGTGGGATGCTGTGGGATGCAGGGACATGCTGTGGGATGTTCTGGGATGCTCTGGGATGCTGTGGGATGCAGGGACATGCTGTGGGATACTGTGGGATGCAGGGACTCTATGGGATGCTGTGGAATGCTGTGGGATGCAGGGACATGCTGTGGGATGTTCTGGGATGCTGTGGGATGCAGGGACATGCTGTGGGATGTTCTGGGATGCTGTGGGGTGCTGTGGGATGCAGGGACGTGCTGTGGGATGTTCTGGGATGCTCTGGGATGCTGTGGGATGCAGGGACACGCTGTGGGATGCAGGGACACGCTGTGGGATGCAGGGACACGCTGTGTGCTGCTGTGCCACGGGCTGCAGGGGGCTGTGCCCGGGGGGGTCCCGCATGCTGCCCCCCCTCCCTGGCTCTGCAGTTCTCACCTGCTTCTTCTCTCCTGCTCTTCCCTCTGCGCTCACAAGGCGGCCAAACAGATCAAGGATAGGTACGGCCCCCCCGAGACCCCCCAAGAACCCCCGAGGCCCCCCGAGATCCCCCTGAGACCCCCGAGACTCCTCTGAGACTCCCTGAAACCCCCCCGGCCCCACTAACCCCCCACCTCTTCATCCTCCTCCCGCTCTGGGGGGCCATCCTGGGGGTCCCTGGGTGCCCTGGGTGGGGTACCCAGGGTGCTGTGCCCAGGGGATCTGTGGGTGCAGTGCTGGGAGTCCCTGGGTGCCAAGGTGGAGTCCCAAAGGTACTGTGCCCAGGGGTGCAGCAGAGGCCATCCTGGGGGTCCCTTGAATGCCGGGGGGGGTCCCCAGGGTGCTGTGCCCAGGGGATCTGGGGGTGCAGTGTTGGGGGTCCCTGGGTGCCAAGGTGGAGTCCCAAAGGTGCTGTGCCCAGGTTTGCAGCAGGGGCCATCCTGGGGGTCCATTGAATGCCAGGGTTGGGTCCCCAGGGTGCTGTGCCCAGCAGGTGCCATCCTGGGGATCTGTGGATGCCACGGGTGGGGTCCCCAGGGTGCTGTGCCCAGGGGTCCTGTGGGTGTTGGGGGTCCCTGGGTGCCAGGGTGGGGTCCCAAAGGTGCTGTGCCCATGGGATCTGTGGGTGCAGCACTGGGGGGGCCACTGGATGCCATGGGTGGGATCCCCAGGGTGCTGTGCCCATGAGATCTGGGGGTGCAGTCCTGGGGGTCCCTGGGTGCCATGGGTGGGATCCCCAAGGTCCTGTGCCCAGGGGTGCAGCGGGTGCCACCCTGGGGGTCCCTGGGTGCCTCCTCTCCCCCCAGCCAGAGCCCCACAGAGGGTGGTCCCCTGGGTGCTGGGGTGGCCCTGTGGGCGCTGGGGTGGCCGTGCCCACCCTCCCCACCCTCCCTTGGGGTGGTGGCAGCGCTCAGGGCCGTCTGGGTGCCCTCCCTGGCCCCGCTGAGCCCCGTGCCCGTGTCCCTGGCACAGCGTGACGATGGCACCCGCCTTCCGCCTCTCGCTCAAGGCCAAGGTGAGCGACAACATGAGCCACCTGATGGTGGATTTTGCCCAGGAACGGCGCCTGCTCCAGGCCCTCACCTTCCTGCCAGGTACCAGGGGCATGGGGGGCACGGGGAGCACAGGGGAGGGCAGCCCCACCAGGGTGGGGGACCGGGGTTTAGGGGGTGAGGAGCTGGAGGGGGGAGCCAGGCTTGGGGTGCCCTGTGGTGCCTCATCCAGAGGGGTGGGAGGGTGCCAGGGGTGGAGGGAGGAGGGGGTTTGAGTGCTGTGCCCAGGGATGCAGCGGGGGCCATGCTGGGGGTCTCTGGAATGCCATGAGTGGGGTCCCCAGGGTGTTGTGCCAGGGGTGCAGTGGGTGCCATTCTAGGGGTCTCTGGGGTGTCACAGGTGGGGTCCAGGGGTGCAGTGCCCAGGGGTCTCGTGGGTGCAGTGCTGGAGGTCCCTGGAATGCCAGGGTGGAGTCCCCAGGGTGTTGAGCCCAGGGTTGCAGGGGGTGCCCCAAGGTGGGGGTGCCCAGGGTGCTGTGCCAGGGGTGCAGTGGGTGCCATTCTGTAGGTCCCTGGAATGCCAGGGGTGGGGTCCCCAGGGTGCTGTGCCCAGGGGTGCAGTGGTTACCCCAGGGTGGGTGTGCCCATGGATCCTGTGGGTACTGGGGGTCCCTGGAATGCCAGGGTGGGATCCCCAGGGTGCTGTGCCCAGCGGTCCTGTGGGTGCTGGGGGTCTCTGGATGCCCTGGGTGGGATCCCCAGGGTCCTGTGCCCATGGGGTGTAGTGGGTGCCATTCTGGGTGTCCCTGGAATGCCAGGGTGGGGTCCCCAGGGTGCTGTGCCCAGGGGTCCTGTGGGTGCCATTCTGTAGGTCTCTGGATGCCCTGGGTGGGATCCCCAGGGTGCTGAGCTCAGGGGTGCAGTGGGTGCCCCAGGGCGGGTGTGCCCATGGATCCTGGGGGTACTGGGGGTCTCTGGATGCCCTGGGTGGGATCCCCAGAGTCCTGTGCCCATGGAGTGTAGTGGGTGCCATTCTGGGTGTCCCTGGAATGCCAGGGTGGGGTCCCCAGGGTGGTGTGCCAGGGGTGCAGTGGGTGCCATTCTGTAGGTCTCTGGATGCCCTGGGTGGGATCCCCAGGGTGCTGAGCTCAGGGGTCCTGTGGGTGCTGGGGGTCTCTGGATGCCCTGGGTGGGATCCCCAG